CCCAAAATATTCATTTGTATTATCACTCAAAACTAATAAAGCTTAGAGAGGATTTGGTTTCTGACCTGCCACAAGTTTGAATAATAGTAAGAGTTCAGATGTATTGAGGATTTCAGTGTGCACCAAGCTGATCTAAATATTTCATGTGTGTAACTGGTTTATTGAATAATCTGAACATGATGAGGGACACACCTAAATGACTTTAGTTTTTCTTCAACCATTGCCTTCCAATACATTCAATGAAATCTTTCCTTTTTGCCCATGCCTTTCTGTACAGTTTCAACATCAAATCATATAATATTTAACACTTCCCCTGAATCAAGCTTGACCCTTCACCTCAAAAATGTTTGTTATTTAATGGTTAAGTAGCCTAACTTTGTGCACCTTGCAAGGCTATGAGGTAGGTATTATTAGTAATGGCATCTTACATCCACTAAGGCCCAGACAGGTGAGGTATCTTTTCCGAGATCACACAGCTAGTAAGTTTTGGACACAGGATTCAAATACAGGCTGTCTGGTTCCAGAAATTTGCCCTTAACATTTATTCATAATCTTCTGCTTTATGTAGGCTGAGGGGCCTTTTCAGAGAAGGAAAGCTGGTATAATGTCCTGAAGAAAGGCCTGCAGGGGCTGGGCACTGTGGTTCATGCCTGTAATTCCAGCACTTTGGGAGGCTGAGGCGGTTGGATTGCTTGAACTTGGGCATTTGAGACCAGCCTGGGCAACATGGCAAAACCCTGTCTCTACAAAAATATGAAAATTAGCCAGGAGTGGTGGTGTGTGCCTGTAGTCCCAGCTACTTAGGAGGCTGAGGTGGGAGGGTAGCTTGAATCCAGAAGGCAGAGGTTGCAGTGAGCCAAGATTGCACAACTGCACTCCAGCCTGGGTGACAGAGTGAGACCCTGTGTCCAAAAAAAAACAGAGAGAGAGAGAGGAGAGAGAAGTCTTGCAGGGGGTATTTGACACCTCTTGTCCATCCTTTAGCTGTAAATCTGAGACAATAGGAAAAGTCCCATTAAGAGTCTGTTACATGTGTGTCCTTTACCTTAATCCTCATGACAGCCCTATATGGGAAGTGTATTAAATAGGGTAATGCTAGCTGCTATAGCAAACAACCCGCAGGATCCAGTGGCTCAACGCAATAGCAGTTTATCTCTTACATAATATTGCAAGGCAGGTGTTCTTGTTTGGAGGGCAGATTTCCTTCATATGGTGATCTGGGTGACTTCTATGTTGCAGCTTTGCCATCCTGCAGGGCTTTGGGGTTCTCTGCATCTACACTGGAGACAAGGATGGAGAAGCTCACCTGCTTCCTAAAGGCCCTGCCTGGAAGTGACACTCACCACTCCTGCTCACATTCCATTGGTGGAGACTATCACATGGTCATGCTTAGATGCAAGGGATGCTGGGAAATGTAGTCCCCAGCTGGGCACATGTCTTGTAGAGACAATTCCACACTATAGAGCCTTTTCCAGAGTTAGTACACAAAGAAGTTCTCTTTACCAATCTGTTTAATCAGCTTGCTAGGCTAACCAGTGATCTCGATGCTCTCTGAATGCAATGCTACTGCCCCAGGCATAGTAAATGCTTATGGCTAATAAGCCATTCTCTAGGCTTTCCCTTTGCTTCTTCCCTTTGGCTCTTCGCTATAGAAGGGCATGCTTGCCAAGAGTCTTCTGAGTCTGTTCCCAAATCAGTTTCCACCAGGCACACTTAATATTGTAACAATGTAACTGAATTAGATACTCCATAAACTGATGAAATATGAGTGCAAAAGGAAGACATTTGTTTTTATGAAAACTCAGAAAAGATTGGTTGCTAAAAAGAATACTGTAAAATTAGGTGTGGAAGAAACAACTAAAAACATCTGGAAAAAAAGTAACCACAAGAATTTCCAGGGATTCTGTACCCAGTTGCTACACAGGTGTCTGCAGGTCCTTGCCCCACTTTAAAGAAATCAAAATTGGCTGGGGACAGTGGTTCACACCTCTAACTTTGAGAGGAATTACAAGCATGAGCCACTGTGCCCAGTCCCTGCAGGACTTTCTTGAGGACATTATACCAGCTTTCCTTCCCTCAAAAGCCTCCTTAGCCTACATAAAGCAAAGATTATAAGTAAATGTTAAGGGCAACCTTCTGGAACCAGACAGCCTGTATTTGAATCAAGCAATCCTCCCGCCTCAGACTTGCAAGTAGCTGGGACAAGAGGCACACACCATGGCATCTGGCTTAAAATTTCAATTTAATTCAGTTTTAATTACTTTAACTATAGATGGCCACATATGATTATAGCTAAGGCATTGGACAGGGAAGCTCTGTGTTACACTAACATGTTAACACATGTATTTCTTCATGTCTTAGGCTCTTTTCTTTCTTTCTTTCTTTTTTTTTTTTTTTTGACAAAGTTTCACTCTGTTGCCAGGCTGGAGTGCAGTGGTGCGATCTTGGCTCACTGCAACCTTCGTCTCTTGGGTTCAAGTGATTCTCCTGTCTCTGCCTCCCAAGGAGCTGAGACTACAGGTGTGCACCACCACGCCCAGCTAATTTTTGTATATTTAGTAGAGACGGGGTTTCACCATGCTGGCCAGGATGGTCTTGATCTCTTGACCTAGTGATCTGCCTGCCTTGGCCTCCAAAAGTGCTGGGATTACAGGCGTGAGCCACTGTGCCTGGGCAGGCTCTTTATTTCTTTTTCTCGACTCTCTCTAGCCCATGTCTTCTGAAACGCAAGTCCTGCCCGCTTTGATTCAGACATCTCTTGACTCCAATATATTATGCTGACTGGGAAAGGGAGGGGTGGTCCTTGGCAGGAACAGGCCTCCACGAGTAGCAGCTGGGCTCAAATTGCCATATGGCAACAACTGCCACCTGTAACAGCATCGTGCTAAGCTCCTCACTGGCAGGGAAGGGCCGCCATCAAGAGTAAATGCTCAGCAGCTGGCTCCCCCTCTCCTTGGAATTGTGACTTTGAAAACAATTACTGCATCCTTCTGAGCCTCGGTGTTCTCATCTACAGGGTGGAATTAACAGTGCCTACTGTTGTTCTGAGGATTGAATGAAGTGAGACCTGCTTTGTGCTTGGATCTTACTAGCTACTCGATCAATGTTCTTGTTTACTGTAACTCTCAAAGTAACCTCCCACTCAGACCAAATAAACAGCAGGGGAAAAAATAGGGCGGGATGGACAGAGAGAAAGGTTCTTTTAAAAAGTGTTCTATTGTGAAAATTCTCAAATATACATGAAAATAGAGAGAATGGCTTAGCAAACCTCCATACTCCTATCACTTAGATTTTCAAATCTAAAACAAACCACAGTAAAGGCTTTTTGTTTTTGTGTTTTTGAGACCAAGTCTCACTCTGTCACCCAGGCTGAGGTGCAGTGGCTGATGCACCAGCCTCTCCAGGCTCCAGTGACGTGATCATGACTCACTGCAACCTCAACCTGCTCAAGTGATCCTCCCACCTCAGCCTCCCGAGTAGCTGGGACTACAGGCATGCACTACTGTGCCAGGCTAATTTTTTTGTATCTTTTAGAGAGACAAGGTTTCATCATGTGACCCAGGCTGGTCTCGAACTCCTGGGTTCAAGTGATCTTCCCACCTGAGCCTCTCAAAGTGCTGTGATTATAGGCATGAGCCACCACACCTGACTCAGAGTAAGGGCTTTCATAACTCCATTAACTCAAAGATATAGATCCTTACAAGGTTGAAGAACAAACTCTCAATGGCTCCAACTAAATGGTCACAAACAAGTGTGGGGACTCCTCTGAGCAGCCTTGCCTGAGACCCATCGGAGACAGAGTGTTGTTCAGACAGTTGTCATTTGTCCCCCAAATAATATCTTCACCGTCCTGGGAGCAATGGTGCCCCCACTGGGTGTGGCCATGGTGTTTTTCTGGTGTTTTTCTACTCAAGGTTTCAGCTCCCTGGGTCCCCCAAATCACATGGTTTGTCTTCCAATGCCCAGAAAATTATGAGACCCCAAATTTCTACCAGTAATGTTGCTTAAATTACCAAGAGACAGCGTTTAATTTCTTGTAACCCAGATCCCTCATTGATAATCAGGCTATAGAAAGGCCCCAACTGCCACCTCTAAGGAGCCGGCACCTACTGTCCCTTGAGGTTAAAATAGTCCATTCTTTTAGGAGAGAGACAGGAGAGAGATCTTATTAGGGAATCTGCCTGGTCCTCTGGCTTTCTGGAAAATTACTAGGCTATAGTCTAACTATAAAAAAAATCAATCTCTTAAGATCCCTGTAGCCCTGAGGAACAGGCAGTGTGGAAAAGGGCAAGGAAGAAATTAATTGGGTGGAGGGCAGCACCAACATTTGCTGGGCATACTCTGTGCTGAGCAGTTCTTCACACGCAGTATTTAATCCTCACGGGAATACTGTCAGGCAGACATTCCTAGCCCCAGGTCAGACAAGGAAACAGGCTCAGAGAGGTGAAGTCACTTGCCCAAGACAGAACCAAGGACTGGCTAACATGACACCCATGTTCCTTCTTGCCACTGCCCTCCCCTGTATGGCCTTAGGTGAGTCCTCTCTCTCTCCTGCCCTTCAGTTCCCTCTCTCTGAGATGGGAACGGCCCGCCTGGCTCACAAAGGCTTCAGAATGGTCTAGACTTCCAAGTACTTAGAAGCATGGCCAGTGCCCAGCCTGGGACTGGGATTACCTCTTTTTGTCGTCCTCAAAGCTGACAACCTTGGAGCTCTGAAAGAAGAAAATCCAAGGCCCCGTTGAGGGACGCGGGTGTGCCTCTGGCGCGATGGGACAGAGGAAAATCACTGGGTTTCCTCAGGTCTGCAAAGGAGGAAGGAGGGGAGGAGGCAGAGGGGGAAGTTGAAGGGGGAGGTGCCTCGGGTGTTGCTGTTTTTGGTGATTGCTCAGCTGACGGCTTTCCAACCTGAGAAACACACATACACAAAGTCTAACCTCCTCTGGCTTAAAATAGAGCCACTGAACCAAAAATGCCAAGCACAGGGCAGAGTCACCTGCCTGATGGGGCCAGACAGCTTCCCCCGTGGCCCCAATAGCACCCGCCCCCAGTGGGCACACCTGACCAAGCGCCTCTGGGCTGCCCATCATGGGACCCTCACAACAGTGGGGGAGCACAGCCAGCCACAGATCCTCAGCCTCAGCACGGAGACAAGGAAAGTGAGGACCACAGAGGCGATGGGGGTGGGATAAAGCCAGCAGCATCTGGCCTGACGAGGGTCATGACCTGGGGAGCCAGACAGCCTTGAGTTCAATCCTGGCTCAGCACAGCCTGGCTGGGAGGACTTGGCAGCTTAAGTATCTTCTGTGTGCCTCTGTGTCCTGGGCTGTAAGGTGAGGGTCCCGTGAGTGATGTCTGTGACCATGCCTAGCACAGGCAGAGTTTAGCCCTGTCCCTGCTTCTGGAAAGAGTGCTTGACATCTGTACACAGAGAGTTGTAAAGAGGGAGGAGAAGCGGCTACTGGATGAGGGGCACCTGGATAGTAGCACAAAACCGCTTCTATAATCCTCAACATGGTCCTGTGGGGTGAGTGTCATTACTACTCCTGTTTCTCAGATGGGAAAACTGAGGCACAGAAAAGTACAAGTGTTCTGTTTCTGGACACCCAGTAATATGGTTTGGCTCTGTGTCCCCACCTAAATGGCATCCGGATTGTAATCCCTGCGTGTTGAAGGAAGGACCTGGTGGGATGTGATTGAATCACGGGGGCGGTTTTCCTCTTGCTGTTCTCGTGATAGTGAGTGAGTGGAGGCGCTGGACTTCAAACCCGGGTCTTATTGACTCCAGCTGTGTCCACAACCAGGTCCTCACTAACTTTCCCCTGAGTGGGCCCTGCCCTTCTGCTAAGAACAGCTGCTGCCTGCATCCCCCTGTCTCCACAGGTTCTTTTCAGGCCGTTATTGGGCTGTAAGTCCTCAGGGTCCCATCACCCTAACTCTGCGACGTTAGCCCAGGTTTCTGCTCCTCTGAAGTCTGAGCAGAAATCGGAATATCGAACTCAGCTGATGCTGTTGCTAAAAATCAGGCTGAGGTAGCGGTACCAACACCTGCTTCTGGGCCACTGAAATTCATCCTGCTCCTCGGGAGAAGGGGTCCGAGGCCCTCTCCACCAGGCACTGGGGCCCCATTCTGCCTGGGAACTGAGTCAGGCAGGCACCGGGTCAGACAGCCCTATAGGCCCGGCATCTGCTCACTTGTGATATCTGTAACATGGCTCACACTTCTAGACAAATCCCCAGGGCCAAGGGCAACTCTCTGGCTCCACATCTATTGGTTCATTTAATCCTCACGCCCACTGTATGAGTTCCCTGTTGCTGCTGCAATAAGTTATTACAAACTTAGTGGCTTAACACAAATGTATTATCTTCTAGTTCTGTAGGGTAGAGGGCTACACAGATCTCACTTGGCTCAAATCGAGGTGTTGGCAGGACTTCCTTTCTAGAGGCTTCTATATGGAAGTATGGCCTCCTCTGGGACTTGGAGGGCCTAGTCTGCAAGGATCACGACCTGGGGAGCTTCAGTGCTCAGGGGCTTAGCATATGTCAGCAACTTAACAGAGGCTCAAAACCAGGGCTCCTGATTGGGGATGGGGGTGACCCTGCAATGCGTCATTCAGCCTCAGGTTTTTGTCTCCACATTCAGCCTGCTGGTGGGGGAAAGAGCTGCAGCACAGGTGGCACAGGGTTTTATGGGCCAGGCCCGGAAGTGCACATGTCATTTCTGCCCATGTTCCATGAGCTAAGGCTTGGTCACATAGACTCCGCTAAGTGTAAAAAGGCTGGGCAATGTGGCCAGCTGCATGGCCAGCTCCACCTCCCCAGAACACCCCAGATCCCCTCATTTCTCTCCATCTTCACACATTTGGATACAGTAGCCTTTGAACTGGCCTCCACTCTTAGCCACCATTCCTTTTCCCCATGACAGCCAAAGACTCTTTAAAAAATGTGAATCAGATCCCTGTGTTGTTGCGTGTGTGTGTGTGTGCACCTGTGTTTGCAATACAGCCTTTCCATGGCTTTCAACACACCCACATAAGGGCTTGTAGGAAAGACACTGTGTGAAGTTGCCTCTTTGTCTTCCTTCTGCTCCCCCAAAGTATCTGCACCCCAGTTCTCTGGGCTCCAGCAACACTGGCTTCCCTGCTGTTCTGGCTGCCACACCAAGCCGTGCTCAGTTCTGCTTTGAAGCAGAAAGTTGCACTTGCTGCCTGGATTCTCTCCCCCAGTCACTCGGCGATTTCCCCACCACCTTAGGTGCTGGGTTCACCTTCCTAAGAAATGATCCTCTTTCCTTCTCTCTCTCTCTTGTCTAAAAGTAACTGTTCGTTTGTTTGTTAGCCGGCCCTCCTTACTAGGGTATCACCTTTATTTACAGTAGGAATGTTTGCACCAGTAGGTGCTTGGTAAACATTTGTCGGAGGATTGAGGGAAGGGAAGGGGAGGGGAGGAGAGGGCAAAAGGAAGGGGAGGGAAGGGAGAAGGAAGAAAAGGAAAGAAAAGGTGGGAGGAAGGGAGGGAAGAAGGGAGGGAGGGAAGAAGGAAAAGAAGGGAGGAAGAGGGAGGGAGGGAAGGAAGGAAGGAGAGAGACAGGAAAGGGAGGGAGGAAAGGAATGGGGAGGAAAGGGGAAAGGAGGGAGGGAGGAGGAAGGATGACTGGTACAGGTCGCAGCAGGAGTTAGTGGTGGGACAGGACTTCCGCATGCCCGGGGTTTACGCCTTTGCTTCAGATGTCAGTTTGCAGACACATGAACCCCAGGGCAGGCGCGTGGGAGGCGGACAGGGGAGCGGTTCTCTGGGCCCCCACGGTGGATCCCAGCCTCCAGGTGCCCCGCAGCCGTCCCACCCGGCCCATCACACGCCTGCCGCGTGGGGCCGGGGCTGGAGGGGGCGGAGCGCGCCGTCCGGGCACGGAGCAGGTTGGGGCCGGGCGGGTACCGGGGCCAGGGCATCATGCGGAGGCCGGGATGGTCCTGTGCACGCTGTACTACCTGCTGGTGGGCGCCGCCGTCTTCGACGCGCTCGAGTCCGAGGCGGAAAGCGGCCGCCAGCGGCTGCTGGTCCAGAAGCGGGGCGCGCCCCGTTGGAAGTTCGGCTTCTCCGCGGACGACTACCGCGGGCTGGAGCGCCTGGCCAGGCCGAGCCCCACCGCGCCGCCGCCAGTGGAAGTTCGCTGGCTCCATCTACTTCGCCATCACCGGCATCACTACCACCGGTGAGCCGCCCGGAGCCTCCCTCCGCGCCCGCTCCAGCCCCAGCCGCCGGGGTTGCCTCTGGGTTTCGGTCCCACCTCTGCCCCCGCCCAGCTGAGCTACTTCGGACGGGTCCTTTCGGCTCACCGAGCCTCCCTAGTCTCCTTCGCCTCGCTCTGCTGAGTGGAGCTGTCAGCCCGCGCAGGCAAGGACCAGAGGAATCAGTAAATCGAGTTTGCCAAGAGGCTGAGCCGCGAATGCTCAGAAAACGTCCCAGGGGCCTGGAAGGGGGGCTGGCTGGGAGACCAAGTGGCTGGAGTGGCTTTTCCTTGCCTGGTTGCATCACACTTGCTGTGTGACCTTAGACAAGTTGCTCAACCTCTCTCAACCATAGTTTTCTCCTCTGTAAAAGCAGTGTGGCTAATCAGCCTTATCTTAGGGTTGCGGTATCTGCACCCTCCTGGAGGCCGACTATGCAGAAAGTTTTAGCACAGGGCCTGTGCTAAAACATGACACATACAGAGCACTACAAAGATCGATTTTTTATTATTACAGTTGTTCCCCGCCCCCCGCCCCCCCTCTATTACAGTTGTTATTGTTACTCCATGAGAATGGGGACCTAGTTTGTCTTAGTCACTGCTGTATGACCAGTGCCTAGGGTGCAATAGATGCTCAATCAATACTTGTTAAAGGAATGACGAATGACCACAGGCTAGGACCTTGCCCTCGGGGATGCACAGCAGGTCCTCTGCAGCATCTGGACTGCCAGCTGTTGCCATGACTACCATCTGGCTGGTACCTGCTGAGCCTAAGTCTGGGGGAACAGGGAGGAGAGAAGCGGGCTCTGCAGGGCTCAAGCTTGGTGTCAGCCACTCCCCAGGCTCCAGCTGTGAGCGTCCAGGCGCCCCACCTAGGGCTTGGACCACCAGCCTGAAAGCCAGTGCCTTGGATAAGGTTTCTCCAATAATGCTCTTGCAAGTGAATGTGATCTGTGGGTTTTGCAGTGGAGTTAAAAGCATGAGTTCTGCAGTTACAGAGACTGGAGTTCTGGTCTCGTCTCTATTGCCACCTGCCTTCTCTGGCAATTGATTTTATCTGTTCGAGCCCTGGTTTCCCCAAAGGCAAAATGCAATTATTCCTACCTCATTGAGTGGTTGCCAGGTTTCAGTGAAGTCAAGCATGTAACATGCTGGGCACAGTGCCTGAGGCCAAGTAGCCACTATTCATTAGTAGTAATAATTCATCATTTACCAGCATGGCCCCTGCTCTTCTTCAGCTCTTTTCTCCCTCCTGTCCACATGGACACCCCTGCTTCCCTATCTTGGTAACGCCTGAGACCCTCCTAGTTACTGTGCCCCGTAGTTTGGGATGCCATCAACCTGTTCTCTCTGACTTTTCCCACATTCTTTGGAGGCTTACCAGGTGGGTTTGGCCTCTTATCCGGGTTCTTCACCTCTGAGGTACATCTGGGAGGCTGAGGAGGTAAGAGACTTCAGCGGAAACAAGAGGAATTTTGCCTTTTCTGGCCACTTGGGGGCACCACCACCTACTGTGGTCCAGTCTGCTAAACCAGCCTTTCAGAGAGCCAGATGCCAGGGCCCAGCAATTTGGGCTTTGCTTGGATAGGAGAGAGGTGCTGAAGCAATAGCGCAGGCCCGTGGCCTTTGGGCAGTTTTGGCCCTTTTAATCTAGTTTTCTTCTATATAAAATGGGAATAATAACATGTCATAGTCATTGGGAGGGTTAAACCTGATAATCCATGCACAGTACCTACATGGATTAGTTCCTGTCATTATTATTATTATCATTCTTCATTTCACTCTCTGCCAAAACTTGGCACAGCCCCAAACACCTGGAAGCCTCTTATTCCTAAAGAGGCTCCTCTGTTTCTCGCTAGCACCCACTTCAACTTGGCTTGATTCAAGAAACTTTCATTGAGCTTCTAGTCTATGCCAGGCTTGGGGCAGGACCCTGGTGATGGGGTCTATAGAGACGTGACCACCGTCGTCCCTACCCTCAGAGATCTCAAAGCCGAGTGATGAGCGGACCCCCTTTCTCCCCAAATAACAGACAGGCAACGTGATAGGGCTATGCAATAGAGATGCGGAAGTGGAGCCACAGGCCTTTAAATGTTTGTAGTAACTGAGATTTTGAATAAGTTATATAAGCACACAGCACACACTTCCCAGGGTACAAAGGGGCATGGAATAGAAAAAGGAAGTCCCCCTCCCACCCTGTCTCTTAGCCCATAAATTCTTGGGTTAAATACAGTTACCAGTTTTGTGTATGTCCTTCTAGATGTATTCTTTGCCTATACATTCCTTTAAAACACACGCACACATTGTGTAGACATTATACACTCCGTTTTGCCTCTTTTTTCGCTCAATGTATGTTGGCAATGTTTTGATGTCAGTCTCTAAGGAACTGCGTCATCTTGTTTGTAGGGTTTCTCAGCCTTGGAACTACTGACAATCGGGGCAGTGGGGACTGTCCTGTGCACTGCAACATGTTTAGCAGTGTCCCTGGCCTCTCCTTTTTAGATGCCAGTCTCACAGAGCCATCCCCACTCCCCACCCTCATTTGTGACAGCCAGAATGTCTCCAGATGTTGCCAAATGTCCCCTTAAGGGCAAAACCACTCTCGACTGAGAACTGCTACTGCATAGGCTCCCATGGTTTGGATGGCACTGTGGTTTATTTAACCAGGTCCCTTTCGATGGACACTTACAGTGTTTCTCATTTTCACTATGACCCACAATGCTGCAATGATGACCCACATGCACACATATTTTTACGCATGTGTGTATATTGAAGGGCTAACTTCCTCACTGTGGAACTACCTTGGTCAAAGGATTTGTATTTTGTATTTTTTGGCAGGTAGGGCCAATCTGTTAGAGGAGGCATATTCTTTTTGGGGAGATCCACCTGACTGTTCCTGGGGTACAGGCTCCTTTGAGAGTACCATGAAAGTGACTGCTCCTCTTTCCAGGAAAAGACACACAATGAGATGCCCATTGATTCCCCTGCCATAGCACTGTGTTCCAGGACTCAGGGATGCTCAGCCATGTTTAAATTCCCTACAGTAGTTGAGGGGACCCCATGAAGAATTGCCACACTAGACAATCAGAACCAAAAGGTGTTTAAGTGAGGGCAGGCTGAGCAGTGGAGGGGGAGGCAGAAGCTGGGGGAGGTAGTCCAGGGGAAAAGGCAGGAGAAACGGCATGTGGAGGGGACATGCTGGTTGGGGAAAGAGCTCGGGGTGTAGCTGGCAAGTGTGGAAAGTTTTGCTTCTTTCTTTCCTCAAGGCATAATTTACATACAGTAGAACTCACCGTTTTCCTGTGTACACGCCTGTGAATTCTGACAAATGAATACCTGTCGTCTGACTGCAGCCACGACCAAGACAGAACATTGTCATCAACCCCCCAAAATTCTTCCATGCCTTCTGTAGTTAAGCCCACCCCCAACCCCAGCTACTGGCAACCAACCACAGATCTGTTCTCTGTCGCCACAGTTTTGCCACTTCCAGATTGTCATTTACATGGAACCATGCGGTCTGTAGGCTTTCAAGCTTGTCTTCCTCCGCTCAGCTGGAGACAGCTGAGATCCATCCTTGGTTGCTGCAAGGTTACAGGAGTTCATTGTTTGCTGAAAAGAATTCCAGTGTTTGGATGCGCCACAGGTTGTTTATCCATTCCCCAGTCGAGGGACACTTTGCTTGTCTGCGGTTTGGGGTGAAGATGAATAACCACATCACGTTTTAGAGCTGGGGAATGACCTGGTTAGGACTAGTATTTGCAGGTGCACTGCTAGCCCCGGGGTTGGGGAGGGACCGTAGTCAGCTGGAGCTGAGCTAGCTCACCAGCCCTCCCCTTTGCTCTCCCTGCACAGAGTACAGCTACGCCGCGCCGGCACGGACTCCAGCAAGGTCTTCTGCATGTTCTACGCGCTCCTGGGCATCCCCCTGACTCTGGTCACCTTCCAGAGTGTGGGCGAGCGCCTGAACGCGCTGGTGCGGTGCCTCCTGCTGACGGCCAAGCGCTGCCTGGGCCTGCGGCGGCCGCGCGTGTCCACAGAGAACCTGGTGGTGGCCTAGCTGCTGGCGTGCGCCACCCTCTGGCCCTCGGGGCGGTGGCCTTCGCGTACTTCGAGGGCTGGACCTTCTTCCTCGCCTACTACTACTGCTTCATCACCCTCACCACCATCGGCTTCGGCGACTGCGTGGCGCTGCAGAGCGGCGAGACGCTGCAAAAGAAGCCCCCCACTACGTGGCCTTCAGCTTCCTCTATATCCTCCTGGAGCTCGCGGTTATTGGTGCCTTCCTCATCCTCGTGGTCCAGCGTCTCCTTGCCACCAACGCAGATGGGTCCCAGCGCGCTGTCCGCCGCCCCAGCCCTACCCACCAGGAGGCGCTCGAGAGCCGCGGCCCCTCATTGCCTCGACGCCGGGCAGGCTCGGGCGGTTCCGCCACTGTCTCCTGCCACGTGCACCAGCTGGAGAAGTGCGCCCACCACAACCTGGGCTTCTCGCCTCCCGCCCCCCCCTTGAGCCCGGGGGGTCCTAAGGGCAGGCATCCAGGCCTGAGGCCCGGCGGAAGTCCATCTGACAACTCCACCCGGGTTGGGTTGAATCCGAAACGGGAGGGTCTGGCTTCAGCTATCAGGGCACCCTCCCCAGGGATTGGAGACATGTGAGGGGCCTCCAGGCGGTCTTCAGCTACACACAGTTTCTCATTACCTTCTGTGGCCAAGTCCCCTACCTCCTCTCCAAAAATATATTACAGTCACATCATAAGCACAAACCAAGCTCGAGGGTCACCCTGTAGCAGCAAACTCCCTGTGGTCCAAATTGCATGAGGGCGTGGCCACATCAGCACCTGGGCAAGGCTCTGCATAGGTGCATGCCAGAGCCTTGCTCTAGAAAGGCTCTCTAGAGCAACTTTTCTGTTGTGAAGAGGCTGGCTTTCTGAGTCGCAGTTGAAATGTGCAACTTTCAACACTGGAATCTTCGCTGGAATTAGTGAGGTCAGATGCTTACCCTACAAGAAGCATGGGGAACAAAGGGGGACCAAATGGGACAGTGTACAGTCCAGTGTGGACAAGTGGGTCAGTCTCTGCACTACTTAAACTCTCTCTCGTTCTCTGCCCAGTGTGTAGAGTGGAATCAGCCCATGTGTGAATGATGGCCTCTTTCCCCCTTACAGCTGATGCTCTTTGTGGCCAGCCCAACTTCGGGATGAGGAAGGCCTTGCTGTCACCCACCCACCAGGTCACTGGGGCCACCTGGACGCAGCAGAATGCCATGGGATGAGCTCTCTTCTGGGTCTTGTCAATCACCAGCAATGTGACCTTGGAGAACTGCATCCCCTCCCGGGACCTCAGTTTCCACATCTGTAGAACAACTGGGTTCATCCAGGACCCTGCTCCCTGTGCATCTCTAACAGGACTTTCTGGAGCAGGTCCCTGCAGCATAAGATGGCAGAGACAAAGCCTGAGGTGTGGCATCCCGGCACCCTGTGGCACTCAGCCCCTCCAAACTCCCCCTTCCCTTGGCTTCCCAGATAGGACTATCTCAACAAAAAGCATGAGTGAGCCAGGTTAGAAAAGCCAAAAACTTTAATTTTTAACATGAGCTACATGGTCATGAACACAATGCAACGTGACCCCACTCCAACCCAGGGGCCCCAGAAACCCTCCCTCCCTAAAGGCCTGGGCGGCTCCTGCTTTAAGAGAAGGAATGAGGGAAAGGTGGGTGGATGGAGAGGCTCCCAGCCTGAGGACCTGGGTCCTGCCTTCCTGCCACTCACCCAGGAGGCAGTCGGAGAGTGAAAGGGCTCCGGAGGTGAGGCCCACAGCCCTGGGTTTGGCTCCACTCTGACCTCACAGAAGCGCTGGGTTAGACGGGCACCATCAGCCCACCTCACAGGCTTGGCATCAGGTGAGCTCGTGGACGTGAATGCTTTCCGTCCACGCTGAGGTGCTGCTCCACAGACGTGGGGACCCTCCCAGAGGGCCTTGGAGTCACCATGGGGGATGGGGAGGGGACTCCATCCCGGGGCCTGACACAGCGCTGCTGCTCAATAAATAAATGCAGGTGACCTTGCCTGATGCAACAGCTGTGCCTCCAGAGGGGGTGAGACTCGGTGCTGTTTCTGACACAAAGATGCACCCAGGAGCTCCTGGCTGAAGGAACTGGATCTTGAATTGGCTTGTGAAGTGCACGACCACCCCCTAAGCTATCGGCTCCATCTCTTGAGTGTAAAAGAGTGAACTCCGGGCTGCTGGAGAACCGAGCTCCAGTGCTGCCCACCCACTAACACAGCAGGACCTGAGGCGAGCACCTTCCCTCCCAGGACCTCAGCTGCCTGCTCTGAATCGGGGGTGATGGCACAGGCCACCACCTACTCCCCAGGGGCTCTTGTGAGGGCCAAAGGGTACACTCGAGGTAAAAGCGTTCTGAAAACCAAGTCTGCAAAGCACACCAGGAAGGCCCGGTCCCGCTGCATCTGAAGGTTTGGGGAGGACTTCCCGAAAATGAGGTGCCCCCAGCTGCTCCCATTTGCTCACCGCCCCAGGCAGGAGCTGCCGTTTCCTAACTCTCTCTCCAGTTGGTCCTGCAGAGGCTATGGCCCTTTAGCAGGAACCTCCTCCCAGGCATCAAGGTCTAGACCCCATCCTGTGTACCCTCAGTCAGCTGAGCCAGCCCCCCAGGAAAGCTGTCTCCCTGGCAACCTCTTCCCCCCACCCAGGCCCAGAGAAGTCACTGGCTTACAGAGGTGGACCCCAGCAGGGCTGTGCAGCCAGGGCGTAGAGGCCAGGAAGACACGCCCTTGTCCCGGCAGACACGCCCTGGAGCAACGTCTCCTGTCGCCTGAAGCACAGCGGAGCCCCTTGTTCTTCCCTCTTTGTGCCTTTGCTGAGGGGTCTTGTGTGAGTCACTTCCTGTTTCTGGGCCTCGGTTTCCCAACTTCTCAGATGGGCTACAACTTGTCCTGCCCATCTTTTGGGGGCCAGTAGGCTTCAAAAAAAGAAGGGAGAAGGAGGTATGGGCACCACCTCACACACAGATGATTCCAGGGTGGCTTTTCCCCCAAGCTGGGTCTGGATTTCTTGTCTGTAAAATGGAAATGGACTAATGGTCCCAAAGGCCCTTCCCCTTTACTATGCAAAGGGGGTTGTGGAGAAGGAAAGTGGAGATGGCTCCTTCCCGTGGTATCCTGCATGTGATCTTGGCCCAGGAATTGAAAAAAGTCACTCCCTGGAGGCCACAGCCCCCTAAGGGCCCCCAGTGCCACCCTCTCTGCTCCTCTTCAAACAGTACAGCCTGAGTCAGCAAGGGGCCAGGCAGCAGTGGGGACATGACGGGCTTGAAGCTTCTCCAAAGCTAATGATGAAAACATCACTCCTCTCCCCAAATCCCCATCCCTTGGTGAGGACAGACCGTGGTTCCCACACCCAATGGTCACAGCCCCTGGGAAGGGGGGCACATGCTCACAATGATACAAAGAAACAGGGCTCCAGCCCCCAGCTGCTCCACCCCTCCAGGAGGTGAGTGAGATTTCACAGAACAAACAAGAAAATCATTGAGGGGGCTCTTACTGACCACCCCCAGGTGTTGTTATTGCTTCGGAGCTCTCTCTCTATGAAGGCTGTGTAGACACCAGGGAAAGGGCTCAGGCTGTTAGGGCCAAGCCCCTGCTCCCTCTGGTTGAGACAGCCAGGCTCTGCCCTGTTTTTAGAGAGCTACCCCTGAACCACCACAGCGACGATGGCTGGAGAGAGAAGGTGCTCTCCTGGCTCAAAATATTCCAGTGGTGAATAATAAACGAATAGCAGAGAAATCACACTGGTTAAAAAAACAAATAGGCGAGCGGCCGATTCTGCGCCTTGAATGCGAGTCCCTCCAGAGCCCTGCTCCGCCGGCTCCTTCCGTCCCCAACCTTGGGATTCCATCCGCCACAATCCCAGGAAGCTCTGAAGACCTCCTGGGTAAGGGGGCATCTCCATCTCCACTTCCCAGTGCAGGGGAAGCAGCTCTGTGGAGGTGACATACATCGACCAAAACTTTAAAGGATACCCAGGGCTTACATAAGCTAAGGGAAGGGAAGAATTTCCAGGTGGAAGGAGTCACCTGGTGGGACAGGGACCAGGACCAGGACCAGGACCAGGACCGGGAAGAGGGTGGGACCAAAGGCAGCCTGGGTATCCTCAGGGGAAAATGACACCCTCCAACGGAGACCAGGCCCCCTCTGCCAAGGTCCTACAACCCCCAGGAGTGCCTCATAAAGGAAGTCAGTACCAAGAATAATAAATCAGAACATCTGAGTATAACAGGCAGCTCCGGCTATAACCCTATAGGGGAGAAGGGGAGAAAGGGGGTGGAGGAGGAGGGGCTGGCCTCCAGTGAGCCAGGTTGCCCCATCTAGGCCCAGGCCAGCGAGGAGACACTGGTCTCCTGGAATGTACGTGAGTCTCCTCTCCACTCCTGTCCTGGGACTCGGTAAGGACTATGCATGAGCTAAGAATGGGCCCCAGGGCTTGGAACACTAACTCTACCTAGCTAACCCAGACTACGCCCTACACAGCAGGGACTAGGTAAAGAGTGGCAGGCTTCTGGGTGCCTCCCAGGGGAGGTGGCAGAAATGTGCTTCTATAAAGAGGGGCCAGCCTCCATCCTCCCTTGCATGCAAAAGGGTTCCCGCAGACCCCAGGGAGGGCTGGGCTGGGAAGGCAGCTACCCAGGCCTGCTGGAAAAGGAATCTCCCAGTTCTCACATGCACGTCTCTTCACTCTTTCTCTCCTATCACCATCTTTCCTTCAGCCAAGGTAACTGAGGCCGGGGCAGTGCATTCTGCCCTTAGTATAGGATGGTTTGTTTAAAAAGACTAAAACAGGGGGGGCTCTGTTTGCCTCCCCAGACCCCTGGCCTGGAGGCAGAAGGGGTATACAAGATAACCTTCGACCTCATCTAACAAGGAGGGGTTCTCCAATTTGAGAAACCCTTATCTTGGCACCACCAGTCCCGATCCCAACTTTCCTTAGCCTTCCCCTCCAATACAGCACCCCCCGAATGCTCTCTAGGGTTGGGATCTGGAAATTCAGGTTCCACAGCTCCTCCGCCAGAAGACAGACAACATTCTTTCCAGTCCACCAATGGTTCCCAAACTAGCTTGTTGTGATCCCTGGAGCGAGGCACCTAGGGGTCTGTGCCAGGCCCCTGGTACCTCCTCCTTTCCTTTGGTCCCTGCTGAACCCCAATTCCTAGAGCCACCAGAAGAGGGGCAGGCAGGAGGGGATGGACAGATGGACTCGGACAGGCTGCGGCAAAGCTCCTTCCACGGGCAGGCAGAGGGAAGCCCAAGCTCCTCTTCAAGTGGGGACTCTGGGCCCCCAGGAGCTAGCTCCGGATCCTTGCAAAGCTGCCCCTTCATCTCTGGGGCAGGAGTAGCTGCCTGAACCGGGTGCCGCAGGAAAGACACTTGCTGGTAATTGGCACCATGGAGATGGCCGGCTGGGTTCTGGACTTGGCTCTGGGCAGCAAGCTTCCGAGGAGGCAAAAAGGGGGAGAAGTTGGACAGAGTCTGGGACGGGAGAGTGGTCTGCTCTGCCACCTCAGTCTTTCCTTTCTCCAGACTGCAGCCACATCCACCAGGTCAAGAACCGGCCAAGTCAAAAGTGTAGCCAATCCCGTTGGGAGAGGGAAGGTCTCAGGGGGTAGGAGGCAAAGAAGGGGTGAGGAGGGGCCCAAGGGGGGCAGATCTCCCCATTCTGCTTCCCCACTGTGGGGGAGAGCCCCGTCCTCCTGTTCAATGTGCCCCTGGGCCTGGGGTCCCAGGTCAGGGCTGGGTGGTCTCCAGGCCATCTTGGGGAACCCCTCCCCATCCCAGCACTAAGATCGCTCTCCGCAGGGCCCCACGGTGCTCTCGAGGGACAACTGGGATGCCTGCCGGAGCAGGGGGCCTGCGGCTGGGTCCACCATGGAGGAGGTGGGGAAGAGCTTGTACCAGCCCACAGCCAGGGTGGTCAAGTCCAGCTCCTCCAGCAGCACGCGGGCCACACCCATGAACTGCTTCCGCTCCATCCGCCCGTAGTTCCCCCACACGATCACCTGCAGGGCAAGAGACACAGTGGTTCAAACCCCGCCAGTGCCACTCACAGGCCCAGAAGCAGAACCTGGATCGCCTCCCATGCCTAATCCGTCTCAGTCCTGTGATTTCTACCTCCTTAAAACTGCAATTCCTCAACAGACCCTTCTTATCACTGGGCGCCACGCCAAGCCCCTGGCCTCCAGAGGTTGTTGACGGTGATGAGGGTGGTGATGGTGATGACAGTAATGGCAGCCATGGGCTGCAAGAACTTTTCCTGCACACTAGTATACATTCCACTGGCAGCAGAATGTTATCAGGTAGGTATTACTAGGATCCCCACTTTACAGATGAGGTGACTGAGGGTCCCTTGTTCAAAGTTGCACAGTAAGTTGTGGAGCTCAGTTCAGCCACAGTGAACTGAGGGCCTCACCTATTTCCTCCAGGTGAGGCCCTCCAGAAACACTTCCGCCAGGGGTGCCCTCCTCTCACTCACACACACACACACAAGATCGCACCACTGCCCCTCACCTGGAGGACTTTGCCCTGGGGACTCTCGGGAAACAGCAGCACCTGGTTATACAGTGGATCCAGGGACTTGCGAGCAACTTTGGTCTTCTTCTTGGCAATGCAGACGCCATTCTCTAGCAGGTAGGCCTTGATGTAGGCCGCTGGGGGACAGAGGCCAGCAGGGGTGAGTTCTAGTTTGGCCCTTAGGTGGTAGTCAAAGGGTGCAACAGAGGGAGATTGCCCACCCTCTGCTGGAGATAGGTGTGCCCCCATGGAGTCTGGGGAGGGTGCACCAGGACACACAGTGGGGTGGGCAGGTGGGGGGGGCAGGTACAGCTAGGCTAGGGTGTGGCCTGTCCCACCCCTCTGGTAGTCATCAATGCCTCCCCTTCCTTAGCTTAACCTGTGCTCACCTCCTTCCTCTCTCAGTCCACGACATGCCTACCCCCTCCCTGGCTTATACATCCACTGCTGACCCACTCACTCACCAAGCCTGAGCACCTATTGCATGCCAGGTACCCTGGGGTATAACGATAAGCAGGGAAGATGGTCCCTGCCTTCCAGGAGCTCAGTCCAGTGGAGGAGAGGAACAAGGTCAACAGATAATCTCAACTGGGTCCCCAGATAAGCCCTAAACTACCAGTTCCATGTAAGATGTTAGAGTTGGGACAGGGGGTCCCCATAGTTGGGCCCAATTTTCTCTCTTCAAGGACCTCAGTACCCATCAGGATCTCCTCCCTGACCTCCACCCCCACCTTGCAGGGGGAGGGTAGGCCCCACACCTGGCAGTGTCTTAGAGCCTGGCTTGGCTGTCAGTCCCCGAGCTTGGATAATGTCCACTTCCAGCTGACCGTTCCGCTCCTGCAAGCCGATCTCCACATCCCCTGCAACAGGCACCAAGAGATGAGACTGGGAAATGGCTCAGAAGCTCAAGCCTCGGAGGCGACTCAGCTCCTCCCCTCTGCTTAGGGCTGAAACCCCTTCCCCTGCTCCCAGCCCAGAATAGGACCAGAGCCAACTCCCACCAAGTGCCTGGGCTCTGTTGAGGGCTTGAGAGTATGGCCTGGGCCCTAGGCTGCATGCTCACAGGATGGATCAACAGGTAGAGGGGAAGGAGGGAGAGACGCTGGGCTTCTGGTATGACCCCACCTCCCCTAGTCCATTTGACATCAGCCTTGGGGCACTCACCCATGGGTGTGGTGGCCAGGGTCTGGCGGCCCACAAACTGTGCCGGCCCCATGCTTCCCAGGAAGTCACTGAATTGGGCGTCTGATGCCAGGCAAACTCCTCCATAGTTAAGGCTGCATGAGAAAAAAAAATGAGGAAAAACACACATTCCCAGTGGTTGACTGACAATTCCGGGCTCGGGTAGTCAGCTCCAGAACATCCCTCATTGCATGGCAAGCTGTGTCCACATCCATCACCCTTCCTCTCCTTGCTAAGTCTTAGGTTCAACCTCCCTGAAATGGATATGCTGATACTCCCCTCTTGAGGTGGAGACAAGGTTTATCCAGTATCTGGCTCATGTGGTTTAGTGCTTTGATTCTCTAAGTTTGGTTCAGAGGCCATCAGCATCATCTGGAAACTAAGTCGATACACAGAACTGCGCTCTGCTCCTCCCCCAGCTGCTGACTGAGAATCTGAATTTTCACACAAGCCATGGTGATGCACTTGCATGTGGGAGTCGTGTGAGCCGCACCGGCCCAGCGGCTCTGGATTCTGAGGGGTGCATTTCTTGCTGCTGCTTGGCCACCTGATATCCACTTCCCCTTTCTCTGGTAACAAGATCTCAAATTTTCTTTGGGGAGCCCCCTCCCCATGGCATATGATCACAGTCGGGTAGACTGACCAGCTCGAGAGACTGGGCCTGCAGCTCAGCCTGGTCAATCAGGGCATCCCTTCCCCTTAGCCAGTGATTAGCTCAAAGGCTGGCATGTGGCCCAGTTCGGCCAACAAGAATCAGGCCCAGAAGCTTTGTTTGAACTACGGGGAGTGCCTGAGATGCAGGACAGGAGCTTCTAGCGCTATGTGGCTATAATCTGGATCCCAAGAATGAAACCATCAAAATGACAGCATTGTGTGAGCTCCTGGATCAAGCTCTGCCTGAAGCAAGCTACTTCATCTTTTGGTTATGTTAAGTCAGTAACAACAACAAAGATAATTTTATTATTTTGCTTAAGTCAGCTTTAGTAAGTTCTCCCCACTCCCTTCACTTCTTTAAGTATCTCTTTCCCATCTGTGAAATGGAAATAATAATGTTCCCATCTCCCGGGTCTGTAATGTTAAGTGAGATGAGGCACTAAATACCATGCCTCATGTGTCCCTGTTATCCTGAGGACCAAAGGACTTGCAACCCATTTTCATCTGATTCTCACCACAACCATAGGAGTTTGTTTTTTGTTTGTTTGATTGGTTGGTTGGTTTTTTTTTGAGACAGAGTCTTGCTCTGTTGCTCAGTCTGGAGTGCAGTGGCACGGTCTTGGCTCACTGCAGCTTCGAACTCCTGGGTTTCAGGGATTTTCATGCCTCAGCCTGCTGAGTAGCTAGGATTACAGACAGGCACTACCATGCACGGCAAATTTTTGTGTTTTTAATAGAGACGGTTTCATCATGTTGGCCAGGCTGGTCTTGAATCCCTGGCCTCATATGATCCATCCATCTTGACCTCCCAAAGTGCTGGGATTACAGGCATAAGCCATCACGCCTAGCCCACGAGGTTGGCTTTTGATCTTTATCACCATCATTTAGATAAGAAACACATTTGCCCAGCAAAATGGTGACCCTGTTCCGTAGCCAGAGCTGATGAAAACAGAATTAGAGGCTTAACCCAGCCAGGCCAATCAAAACCTCTCTCTGAGAAATAAAAAAGCAAACCCCAGACACGAAACGTCATAAGAACTGAGTCACATAAATGGCCTGCCCTCATGCAAAACCCATAAACTCTACTAGCTACCCAGTCCTGGCTGCCCAATTCTTTCCTCAACCATGTGAGGTCCCCCGGTGTTCTTTTTTTATTCAAGTTATCTACAGAGTTAATGGCAGAATATTCCGCCTGAGTGCTTTTCCTTTTCATCATTTCCTACTACCCCTGGCCTGCTTTCACCATTCAGACAGTAGCTAGTGTCTCCTATGTCTCCTGCCTCAGCGAAGGAATGACACCCAGCAGGAAGTAGAGAGCAAGACTTGGATTCTCGACTTTTCAGTTCCAAAGCTAAGAAACAAACTTGAAACAATAGGTACAAAACTAGGCTATCCTGTCCTGAAACAGACAAATCCTCAGCCTGGGAGAGTAGAGGAAGTCAGGCAAGGAGGGAAGAGAGCTGAGATGCTGCAGGATACTTGAGGAAGGTCTGTAGTCCCCAGCTGGTGAGCGCTGGGGAATGACAGGAAACTCCAGATAGGCTGGGGGGGATCTGAAAGCAGAGGAGACTTGCACCCACCCTTCTTATTGTGTGGAGCTAAGAAAAGGACGCAACACTCTACAGAAATGGGTGCTTGGGCGTCCTGTCAAGTGACCCACTGGGAGATCTCTGAGGCTCTCTGTACGTCCCTCTGCACCCTAGGGAGGAGCATATGATCCAGGTGCACTGGAGAGAAGTGCGGATCCATAGAGGCCTGTCGTTCTGGACAAAGAGAAGGAGCTGAGACCAGTGGGAAATAATGACCAAGGAGCAGACAGTAAGATCACGTTCCAGAAGACACCAGGATGATGAATGATGACTGAGGACCATTACACTCTGTCCCCAGTGTCTGAGCAGCACAATAATAGCAGCCAATGTTACTGGACACGAGCCCTCAGTGGCATTCTGCGGGTACACCAGGTGTAATGGCCAGCATCCATTTGATCTGTTCATTCATCCAACAAATGTTTACCAAGCATATACTATGTGCTCTATTGTGTCCAGGCACTATTCTGGACCTGGAGTATGTCAGTGAATGGTGATTCCTGACCTTGAGGCGCTTAGATTCTAGTGGAGGGAGACATATTACACGTAACTAATATCATAAACAATACAGTATGTTAGAAGGTGATAAATGACAGAAATCTTAGGAAAAAATAAATAGAAAATTCATGTGCGGGGGGGATGTGGGCTGCAGTATAAAATAGTGTGATCAGTAGTTATGACCTGTGCTTCTTATTAAATACGTTGACTGTTACCCTGGACCTGGTCTAGAAATTTACATGGATTCTCTCTATGTAGATTTCCCCAGGATACAGGCATAACCCTTGGGAAAATCCTGAACCAAGTGAGTTTAAATTTTCAGCTAACAGACGACACAGGGGACTTGACACAGAGATGAGTAACAGGGAACTCCCAGTGATCACTAAATGCCATGAATGTCCAAGTGCTCTACACTTACTCATTCATTTCAGCCTCACAACAACTCTATGAGGTCAATACTATTCCCGGGCCCATTTTATAGATGAGCTGGAGAGTTAAGAAACCTGCCCAAATGACAGAGGTACTGCACGGCCCTGCCCTACCCCTCAGCACATACCTCTACACTCCGAGGCTGCCAGCTCTCATACCTGCCATGAGGTCTGAGGGCTTATTTTCTAGCTGTGAGAATTCTGAATTTTGCTGGGAGAGAAAATTCAGCTGTGGCACAGGGCAGGCTGGAAGTGCCTGAGCGTTTATGCCCCAAAAACAGCCCCCACCCAGTGACACGCTGGGAGTCTGCAGTGGGGATAACACAGGTGAATGTTCAACCGGCCTCCCAAGGCTCCCCAGTGGGGCTGAGCTCCAGCTGCCCTCAGTGGCAGCAGTCTTGAAATAGCATCCGTTATTAGCTCCCTTCCTTTCCCGTCCCATTCCCTGTGGCTCCACACTGGGGATTCCTGGGATGGCCTGACAAATAACCAATTTCCACTTGAATCTTTGAGTCAGGGTCTGCTCTGGGAGAGGCCAAACCAACACAGAAGCTGAGTGGTATCTGAACCCAGAGAGTCAGGCTTCCAAGTCTATTATCTTAACAATTATGTAACAATGGTTTTTTTTTTTTTTTTTTTAAATAGAGAGAAAGAAAAAAATAAAGTCACTTAAATGTCTGGGGACTGAAACGTGTACCCACTATTCTTGCAAAACCAAAGATCCTTAATTGACAGCACCGAGGCTATGATCTAGACCAGTGGTCCCCAACATTTTTGGCACCAGAGACCAGTTTTATGGAAGGCAATTTTTCCTTGGACTGGGGCAGGGAGTCGGGAGATGGCTTCAGGATGAAACTGTTCCACATCAGATCATCAGGCATTAGTTAGATTCTCATAAGGAGCTCACAGCCTAGATCCCTCTCATGCACAGTTCACGATAGGGTTCATGCGCCTATGATAATCTAACTCAGTCGCTGATCTGACAGGAGGCAGAGCTCAGGCAGTAATGCTTGCTCTCCTGCCCACTGCTCACCTCCTGCTGTGCTGCTCGGTTCCTAACAGGCCATGGACCAGTACACATGGGGGGACCCCTGGAGTTGGGGACCCCTGACCTAGACTCTTTCACACTGGTGACATGGCCTTTCCTCCATGTCCCTGGGTCTCTTTTCCACCCTACCCTCTCAGCCATCTGGGGTTCCAGGCTCCATTTTGTAAGGAGTGTCTGGGCTCCAAAAGCCTGAGAAATGATGGGGGTCTTACGGATTCCAGGCATGGAAGCAGCGCAGCCTCCCAAGCAGAGGGAGGCCTTCTGCAGCCTGAAATTGAAAGTTTCCTCTAACATCATCATTGTCTGCTCCTCAGTTCCTGGTGGGACTGTGAGCAGACAATGGGGAACTGGCAGGCCTGGTAATTAGTGGTAATTGTTTATAATATCTGGGCGGCTGCCTGATTTCCTATCCCAGGGAGCCTTGCTGGCTGCCAAGGAACCCGGCTGACGCCCCAGAAACCCTGAATGGGTTATCATGTCCTCCTGGGGGCTGGAGGAAGGAGGAATAAAGTGGTCAGAAATCCAACCGCATCAGAGACTTGACTCCACCTTGGGGTCTTCCCTGGAGTACGAAAGAAGGCAGAGGCCACAAAATCAAATCTGCCTCTACTCTCCATGAGCCAACTGCTTGCTGTGTGAACTCCAACAAGCTGTTATTGTCTCTGCATTTTGATGTTCTTATCTGCAAACGAGATCACACTGCCTCACGGACAGCGTCTGGCCATTTAATTGGCCAGTGCCTGTGCTGTCCTAGTTTCAAATGTTTTTCAAAATCTCTGCTTACGGCATCCATGAGCACAGGGGCATAAAAGAACTTACTGAATTAAGGGCTGCATACATGCTACAACTTGGACAAGTTCTCATATGCAACAGGAGCTCAA